AAAAAAAATTCTTGAACGCTCCCATAGACAATGTGTGGGTAATATGTGTAAATAATGGCTGCTCAATTTGTGGTCAATTTTTTATTTTCTAAATAGTCAAGTATCATTAATAAAATATGTATGTATAAATAATCGTTATAATAAATAATAACTAATCGGATTTTTGTCGACATATATATTGAATACATTATGTATGTATTCTATTCCCAGTTCTTTTATGTAGTCAAATTCAATAGACTATATGTATAATTAATTGCAAAATTATTACTGCCAGTTCTCAAATCAAGGTCATTGAAAGGAGGCGAACTGGCAATAAACTCCTTCATTTTTAACCTTTTTTTTTATTGAACCAATTTTAATGAAACTTTTACTGTCCCTGCGAGCAGTGATGGCCTAGTGACTTCAGCGTGCGACTCTCATCCCTGAGGTCGTAGGTTCGTTCTCCGATACCAATGTACTTTCTTTCTTTCTGCGCGTTTATCATTCGCTCGTACGGTGAAGGAAAACATCGTGAGGAAACCGGCTTGCCTTAGACCCAAAAAGTCGAGCATACGAGTACAGGACACCAATCACCTACTTGCCTATTACATTGACAAATGATCATGAAACAGATGTTTTTTATATATATACTGCTCAAAACAATTATCATTTCCTAAATAACGTATAGTTCGACCCTCTTCAAGCAAAGCGATAGCTCGGGAGACATGCAATTCAGTTAGATCTGGCATTATGACCTAAACTCACTCGCTTCAATGAATAACAATACTCAAAAGGCTCACTTCAATTTCTATTAATACTCAAAAGATTGAAAAAAACTACTTAAAATGTGTTTTCTGTGATTAGAAAGTAATGAAAATTCAAAGACGTCACTTTGTTTTTCGTCTACAATGCACATTTTAATTTTTTTTTAATATAAAAATTCAAATTGAATTTTTTTATTAATTGTAGTAATTAACAAATTAACAAGGTAAAAAATAGCGTACAAGTTAATTTAAATCTAATTTTAGTTTAAGCAATAGAAAGGAGAAAAATCTTGTTCCGCTAATTGTTTTGAGCAGTATATATTAGGGGGGCAAACGAACCTACGGGACGCCCAAAAAGGGCAGTCATCGCAGGACATGGACACCGATTTTTAGTAGGTGCGTTGTCGGCCTTTGAGGGGGAGAGGAACTTTGAATAGTTGGAGGTCGAATCTCTCAGGGAAGACTCCCACCGAGTCGATTCCACAGTTCGCAAAAGAAACAGATACAGAAATCTGAGTCCCAGACCTAAAAAGGTTGTAGCGCCACTGACTTTTTTACCGTTCCCCAAACATCGCTACAAAACTTCGATGTTATAGAAAATAGTAAACTCTTGAGTGATGTTATAAAAATACGTGTATAATAATAATTTTTCCTTTGAAAATATCGTCTGTGAAAAGCGTGACGCGCGTTCTTAGAAGCCATTTTCAGTATCGCTGTGTCATTGCACGCAGGTTGAACTAAAAACCAAATTGTTTTAATCATAATCAATAGATTTCGATTATATTTATAATTAACTACACAATCGATCGTATATATATAAGATTTTCTTATTTAGTGATTACGTCAACAGTAATCATATACTTTTTTACACATACATGTAACATACCCACACATTGTCTATGCTTGAAAACGAAATGCATTTCCGAGGATTTCTACAAAAAAATAATACGTTTATGTACTATTATTTTTGAGACCTTCGATTACTTTTGCTGACAAGAGGGGGGGGAGGATAAATTGCGGTAAATCTGCTTACGTAGTACTTGAACGGCCCCACAAAGGATTACTCAAGTTACCTATCCTTATAAAAAAAAAACGCTTTCTCAGGATAGTATCAAAGAGAAAAATTGGAAAATATAATTTTATACCGGAAAAGCGAACAGTCTCTACGTAGAAGCCTATCAAAATGATCATATGTTGGTATGTAGGTAAAAAGATAGGCTCAGTAAAAAATATATAGAGGCGAAACGAAGTTCGCGGGGGAATATTTACATTTGGTTTTTCTCTTTGTTTGGGTGTCAGTTTTTGTAAAGTCAATACTTCATATTAATTTTTTTTTGTATTATTACTATTTTTATGTATAAATTAAGTTTCGTACTTCCTTAAAATTCTTTTTTTATTGTTATCATTAAGCTTTATAATAATAATAATATATATAAGGGTGGATGTTTTTGCCGATCTTTTAAGAATTGATACGCTCTTTCCTGATTTCTCATAACCTGTCACACTAGAAGTCAGGTCACGTTTTTGACTATTTTTCACCTCTAAATTTTACTCACCTGACATCTTTCATCCCCTTGATGACGGTTCGGTAACGCGACGTATGGCCACAGAATAAATATGAGAATAAAATACTTGATGACTTGCAAAATAATGGCGCCACAGCCTTTTAGGACTTTTTGAGTCTAAATCCGATTTCCTCGCGATATTTTCCTTCACCTTACGAGTGTTAGCTGCACATAGAAAGTCCATTGGTGCACGGGGAACTCGAGATAAGAGTCCCATGATGAAGCATGATAAATTATTGTACGTAATTCATCTTCCATCTGTCCCTTGCACAAGGTAATGTGACAGAAAAGAGAAAATTATGAAAGAAAATTTTGCCACGGCCGATACAATCGTATTTCTAAAAGGCAGATAGATAGATTACTGTTGAGTATACCTTCAATTGAAGGTTTTCCTATATTAATATTATTGGTTGTCAAAATCTCCAATTGTCACATCTTAATTGAAAACAATTTGTTCGGCTACCTTCACACCAATTCATCAATTGGAATCTATGAAATTATTAGACCAATGTATTTATTTGAAGTTTATAATGTGAGTGATCTGCTGGGATGGAGAAGATTAGCTCGTGAAAGAGACGAGTGGAAACAAAAAGAGGAGGCTTATGTCAGAAGAAAACCTGACCAACTTGGTGCTGGTAACTAGAGTGATGAAAAAATATGTATGTATGTATTTGGTTAGTGATCAAAGGCTTTTATTATCATGATTATGGTCCAATCAATATTTATTACTATCCATTGTGGCTGCAGACCCATTCGACTGGGTCTTTACCAAAAAGAGAGGAAAGTACTGCTACTCTCTTCCACCATTACAGAACCATAATGAGAGCAGGCGAGAACGAAAGTAAATATGTGATCATCCGTTGACATCACGGCCACAACGACCATTAGTGATGTGTTATGGATCTTGGTGTTTTCCACGTGCCGTCACTGTCCGCCCTTGTATCTGCTACTCTCACAGTGTTCTAGAGTAACGTCCTCGAGCAGAACGCATGGCTAGCCACCAACGATTTATTATTCTACACAGGTAAATTTTTTTTAAATTAAATAATTTAAGGCTAAAAATAAAAAATAAACAGGTAAAAATTCATAAATCAATGGCGCTCAGATTTATGTATCTGTTTCATGATCATTTATCAATCTAATGGGCAAGTAGCTGATCAGCCTCCTGTGCCAGACACACGCCGTCGACTTTTTGGGTCTAAAGTAAGCTGCTTTCCTTTTATTTCGCCATTCGAGCGAATGTTAAAAAGAAATAATAGAAAGAAACTCCATTGGTGCACAGCCTGGAACCTACGACCTCAGGGATGAGATTCGCACGCTGAAGCCACTAGGTCAACACTGCTAAGCACAGTGTTCTGCATAAATGCAAATTCCCAACTAAAAGTTTCGTTGCCAAAGTGCCAAAAACGCTGACACTGTTCAGTTAACATAATGAAAATTCAAACTTCCATTCATATGTCAATACTAATTATCTAATAATATATTAGTGTGTCCAACGGTTCTACCCACTATCTTATCAGTCGTATTCTTCATTTCTGAAGGTCGTGTACTGTAACTTTAAGGTTCTTGCCACCCTGCTAGTGATATTACCACTTTGTCGGTCTGAAGCTTCCCTTACGCCCGAACCAAATACCCTATCTCAATATATTTTTGATAGAAATCTTGATCCAAATGTTGTAACAAGTGCGCCAATAACCAATGGACGGATTTTAATAGCAATCTGTCGATACAAGCTATCCATGGGAGGTCGGATCGGTGTCTGTGGATAGACCTTTGTATGAAAATGACAGTTGACGACAGCTCAATTTCAACAGTTAATTATTTTAACAGATTTTAACTTACACCAGTTTTTTAAATAATTAAAAGAGCTGTTTGTTATGTTTAAAACATAGACATGCATATTTTAATGTTATTTGTACGGTTTTATTTACTTTATTTGGTTTACATTGATTATCAAATATGAGTGTAAACTCGGTAAAATGGAACGACACAGAGAATTTTATCCGTCACCAAAAATGGATTGTCATCGTAGTTTTTGGTTAGGAGATCGATCGACTGTCACGGTCTGATCTCAGATTGTTTTCAATCTGAGATTGTGGATTAATTATTGGGTTCGGGTGTTAGTGCAGCTGTTATGAGGTCCCCTAGCTATTCCTAAAAGCGTATGGCCCGATCTGTGAAGGATACTTGCTGTGTCAAGTATCTTCACAAATCAACAATGGGCGGGGAGAGGCGGACACAACTGCCGCATCGCATGTCGGGAAGCGGATAAGGCTCTGCTGTTACCGCATCCCGCCTAAGGCGATTGTTGGTGGCGCCTTGGGGTTTTAGTGGGTATGCACATTCGCGAGTCCCACATAACCCTCCCGCACTAAGCAGTCGCACCGCGGTAGGGTATGCGCAATGCATTTCCCCAAGTAAAAAAAAAAAAAAAAAGCTGTTATGAGGAGACCGGGAGTGACAGAGAAGGAAAGTGAGAATCGTGACTTGTTCACTTCAGCGGGTTGGCGATCTGCCCCGCGGTCTTTAGCCTTCCACCTTGTCTTGAGATAGTTTTGCAGCGTTAAAGAGCTGTTTCTTTTATGGAACAGTGGCAGAAAGAAGGAATTTTTTTCGAGCAACATCTGGACTTCATGTCTGGTATTTTATCATTTTCTTTTGCGTTGCGCCCTTTTTATTTTTTTATTTAGGATTAACAGGTTTTATAATGCAGTTTCAAAAGGAAAATAAAGAAGAAACCAAATAAATGAAAACATTTCAGCATTACCTTCAAATCCAGATCCATCACAAGATGGCGTCCGAACGACGTACCCCCGGTCTTCTGTATATGCAAGAAGACCATGACGTCATGGGCGTTGAGGTCAAACCTGAAGTCATCGTGCAGGACCTCGTCATATGAGAGACCTGGCTGCACGATGACATCAGGGAGAGGCCGGCCCGGGGCTTCTGCGTACGAGAGGGCCATGGACTCTGCCACTCTTTCACGAGATGACATTGCGCACACCTGAAAATATACAATATATTTATATAAGGCAATAAAAACTATATATAAAATAAAAATAATAAATCAGTGGCGCTACAACCTCTTTAGGTCTTGGCCTCAGATTTCTGAATCTGTTTCATGATCATTTTTAAATCTAATAGGCAAGTAGGTGACCAGCCTGACACACAACGCCGACTTTTTGGGTCTAAGACATGTCGGTTTCCTCACGATGTTTTCCTTCACCGTTCGAGCGAATGTTAAATGCGCACATAGAAAGAAAGTCCATTGGTGCACAGCCGGGGATCGAACCTACGACCTCAGGTATGAGAGTCGCACGCTGAAGCCACTAGGCTAATCAATAAAGCTTTTTATAAATCAGACGATTATTTAAATGATCTTTGGGATTGATTTGCTCCGGTTCAAACAATTTGTATAACTCAAAACTTGGCGATTAAAAAGAGTGGCGGAGAGTTTCTTGCCAGTTCTTCTTTTGACTTGCGAACTGGTAGTAAATGTGAATTCAGAATCAATTAAACATATGTTCTTTTGAAGTTCATAAGTGTACTTGTTTACCTATATGAATAAAGTTTATTTGAGTTTGAGTTTAAACAGTATAATTCTCAAAATCCGACACAATCGCAATAATTGGATATCACAGCGTTAATAACATCGGGGTGTTAAATTGACATAACAAAAATTTATATAAATAAAAATGAATCGCAAAATATGTTGCCAAGCGCAAACGACGAACAGACCAATCCAAGTATTTTTGAAGTTATACTTCTTTAGGCGCGTTATGAAAAATTGTTGAGAGTGAAATTTTACGATGCGCGCACATGAGACACAAAGTTGTCAGTGTGATTATAGCGTGCGCGAGCGAGATGGGAATAAGACAATCTACAAGTAAAAAGAAATAGAATATGCGTGACATTAGCTATGCTAAGAATTTTGAATGAACATAATGATGACCATAACATTTACCTTTTAAACAAATAAAGGAGTTTTAATTATTTTTTCAAAGAAATTTAGCAATGCTTTTTCACAAAGACCTATTGTTACTTAGTTAAAAGGTTATGAAACATACGTAGTTATTAAATTGAATGAATAATATAATAAAATAATAAATAATAATTATTATTATTAATATTAATTAATAAATGAATAATATATTAAATATTATTAAATTATTAACGTTAAATATTTGTTATTAATTATATATTTAAAAAAAATAAAGAAAGCCAAAGAAGTATAACTTCTTACGCGCGTACATAAGTACACGCACCCTTTTTTTATTTATTCCATGAACTCTGGTAAAGGTTTTTATGGAGAGATAATTTGAAGATTTACGTAGTTGGTCCCAAAGTTCTGTCACTGGCACATTATTTTTAAATTACGAACATGATTTTATAAAAAAATTATTGCATTCTATTTTTGATTGTTTGACTATTGTTTTAAAACAAAAAACAATCACTTTCCGTAAATTTTCAAGATGGAGTGGACATTGAAAGAAAACCGAATAGCTGTTATTGCGTTGCACCGCTGTGGGCACTCGGCGAGTACCATTTTCAAGTTGCTCAAAAATTTAAATATAACGCTTAGGTTTGTGTACCGTACTATTGATAGGTACAATGAAGTCTCCAGTGTTGAGGACAAGAAAAGAACTGGCCGGCCACGCTCCGCAAGGACACCAGCAGTGATCAAAGCTATCAAGGCGCGGATAGCAAGAAATCCTGTCCGAAAACAGAAGTTGATGGCTTTGCAGATGGGTGTCAGTAGGAAAACAGTAAAAAAGGTTTTAAATGAAGATCTTGGTCTACGGGCATACAAAAGAAAGAGTGGGCACCTACTTAATGCTCGTCTAAAAGCAATAAGGCTTAAGAGATCGCGGGGTTTGTTAAAGCGGTACGCGAAAAACCGACACCGTGATATCCTCTTTACGGACGAAAATTTTTTCGATATTGAAGAGAAGTACAATAAACAGAATGATAGAGTGTACGCTAGGAGTTCTGAAGAAGCTGGAAATAAAGTTCCGAGGGTGCAACATGGACATCATCCATCATCAGTAATGGTCTGGTTGGGAGTGTCCTATTACGGGCCAACTGAGGTTCATTTTTGCGAAAAGGGGGTCAAAACCAGTGCAAAAGTGTATCAAGACACGGTTTTGGACCAGCTTGTCAAAGACCTGCCCAGCACGCTATTTTCGGGACATCACTTTGTGTTCCAACAGGACTCTGCGCCTGCACACAAAGCCAAGACCACTCAAACCTGGTTTGAGCGTCAAAACATCGACTTAATTAGACATGAGGATTGGCCTTCCTCCAGTCCAGACCTTAATCCTTTGGACTATAAAATTTGGCAGGTCTTAGAGAGGAAGGTCTGTGATAAACCCCATAAAAATTTGGAGTGTCTGAAGTCATCTTTAAAAAAAGCAGTCACTGAAATCGACATCAATATGGTGCGTGCTGCGATAGACGACTGGCCGCGGCGCTTAAGGGCCTGTATTAAAAATAAGGGAGGTCATTTCGAATAATTTTATGCTATTTCTATTTCTTAATTTATGTACTATTAATTGATATATCACTCATTAAAAACTGATCAGTACTTTAGTTTTTATCATTATTTCTATTTATGACAGAACTTTGGGACCGACTACGTAGTTTTATTCAGTACATATTTTTTTATTCCGTACAAACGAACAGTCTTTAGGGAAACATAGCAAAATGTTTCAGTAAAAACATAATTAATTTTCGATATTTGTTTTAAAATAAGTGTTGTTTGATGATTTATTTTAAAAGAGTACCGAGAGTTTTTTACGCCCTTTCTCTCGGCCTACACCCTCTGTCTTCTTTGCCGATGAGTAGGGATGTCTACCGATTCAAATTTAATGACGTGGAATAAGTGATGTTTTTTTATATTTCGGCAAAACGAAGTTCGCGATGGCATAAAAATTGTATCATTAAAAACACATCGATATAACCCATTTTGAATTCTTGGAGTACATAGGTTTTAATAAGACCCATGGGTACATTACGAAAACAAAATGTTTGTTTAGGACCCTATATTGTTTTAGGAATGTCATATTAAATTTGTTCCGGTTAAATTTCCTTTAGAGAACAATCAACAAAGAACATCGTTGCTACAATAATGAACTTTAACTCTATAGAAATACAGTACACATAGCAGCATTTTATATAATCTGATATTATCTTAAAATCTATACTTTTCTTATAAAAAACCCCACGCCACAAAAAATGTAATAAACCCCTCCGAAACCAATGTCGTTCCATAACTAAGCGTAACTTAATTTCGTATGATTGTTCATGTATATTTAATATATAATATAACAAACAACTAAACGCGCAAAGAACATTTATGGAAAATAGCGCCAACCGTAAAAGAATATAAGCAGATTTTTTTTCTTCACCCATTTTGGGTAGGCAAAGGGAACTGCCCATACAGCCAAGTCTTCAGTACAATTTTTTATTGATATGAAATGAAATTTAATGAGATGAAATGAAACCTAACCTAACTCATTGAATCAAATCATTAAATCTGATATTGAAACAAAGCAGTAGCTTCTTTTTAGAAATATTTGCATGAATCATAAAAATTCCTATGAATTTTTTTTAGTAAAAACTTCGGAATGAAGAGTTTCGATTGGCTCTCCAGTCGCATTCCGTCCCCCGCGCGACAGTACACATGCGCAGCAATCCCCTCCACGTATCGGCCAGCGCTAGACTTACATGCCGCTGCCTATACTTGCTTATTAGATTGAAAAATGATCACGAAACAGATACTCTGAGGACCCGACCTAAAAAGGTTAGCTGCAAAGGCGCTACAGATTTATTTCTATTTACACCATAAGTATAAAGTAATAATTCAGCAGTAGGTACCAACATTGTACCACGACACCATATGATGCTGTGGTCAATATGGTTCCAATCAGGACTATATAAACAAACATCGACCAAGGATAGTTAAAAATAGCAAATGTAGTAAGTTAATGGATAAACATTGGTGTACTGCAAGAAAGCATGTCGCTAAGCAACAACAAGGCCGACGGCCGAGTGCAGCTGGCCGGCACATGAACAGCAAGCAAGGGAACTTTGGAAGATTTTGGAGCTATCATGGGGTTCCTATAATAATAACTAGAGAAAACGTTGTAAGATTTATGGCCACATAGTTAAGTTAAGTTAAAAATCATTTAATCATATAGGTAACACAATGTACACTTATGATCGTCAAAAAAAGAAATGTATTATATGAAATGCTTCTAATGTTACATTTAGTGCCAGTTCTAAAATCAAGGGCGTAGAACGGATGAGAAGAACTGGCAATAAACTCTCCGCCAATCTTTTTAATCACCAAGTTTTTTGTTGTATTATGAAATGAAATTTGACTAGTTATTCTTAAATCTCTCAAAAATAATAGTACATAAACGTATTAATTTTTTGTAGGAATCCTCGAAAATGCATTTCGTTTTCAAGCATAGACAATATGTGGGTAGTATGTGTAAAGAAGTAAATAATTACGGTTAACGTAATCACCAAATAAGAAAATCAAAGACCCAATAGTGCTTACTAATACTTGACCGGCCCCTTTATACATTCCTAATTTTCATCTAATTTAATCAACATCGAAGTTATAGGGGCTCGAAAATGACCTGAACTGTTTCGAGAAAAGGGGGCGGGCGCACCGTGCCCCCAGATAAGGTTGTCCTTTATCCGTAAAACATTATTTACGCGCACAAGTTGTATATTATTATTACATATATCAACGGTTGGTTGCAATAACGATCGGTATATTAAAACTGGGCGTTACCAATAACCTGTGGTTAATAACTAAGCTTATCAAATACATTTTCCGATAAAAAGATAAATTTGTTTTGCTGATAGAGAAAATCAAATCACTTTAGAAATTACTGTATCATAAATTTATTTATGAATTACATTTTTATAATAAGGGGCCAAACGAGACTACGGAACGTTTTGCCATTTTAGTAGGTGCGTTGT